CAGAGTGTTGTTCAGCATGGGGGTGAGTAGAAAATGAAGGCTAATCATGTTTCGGGTGTACTATTCCTTTAAAGTTAGTCAGCCTGCCTTAAAGCGGCGCTCTGGGTCACATGACTTTGGCTCATTCTCAGTTGAGCAGGTAGTAGCTCCCACCTTCTGTTCCCCCATGGACACCGTTCACATGGTCAAGAGTCAGAAAAATAAAAGTCTCAGCAAAAATAGAAACTGTTTCCATTTAAAAACATCCCAACTACTGCATTTAATTAAAATTACAGGCTGAGGAAATCTTTAATAAGTTCAATAAATGTTCTGCTGTTCTGCTTCTCTTTTATTTTGTGCAAAAACAAAACATCTCCTTTTTTATTTACAGATAAAAGCAGGAAAGATGACGGCCTGAAGGGAAAACCAGACATCTATGGTACGTTGCTTCTTGTTGTGTTCATTTGGTCAGCCAATCAGAAATCAGAATTTTCTTCTTCTCTTCTTTTATCCAGCTGTATCCAAGCCTGACGAGCGCGATGGTTTTCTGGACGGCGCTTTGCCCTGCCCTGAGGATTACGCTCAGTTCTGTGAACACGGCCAGTGTGAGATGAGACACAATCTGCCCACATGCAGGTGAGTAAACACCTGGAAGTTTTATCGGACCAGTCCAGAACCGGACCTACTCCGGTTCTCCCTGCATCTTTTAATGTCCCACTTTCTAGTTACTTTATTTCTCTTAGCTATTCTACGGCTTCATATCTAGATTTTCTCCATACAACAATTTTCAAAGTGTGATTCAGCAAATGTAACCATGGTAACGAACATGTTGTTATTTGGACCAGGTGTGACGCAGCGTATGGAGGCCCTCAGTGTGACCAGCTGTTGGATTTTAACATCCTGTATGTGGTGCCCAGCGGCCAGAAGCTGCACTACGTCCTCATCGCCGCCATCATCGGAGCAGTCCAGATTGCTGTCATCGTTGCCGTGGTGATGTGCTTTACCAGGTAAGCACACCTGCTTGAGCAGGGGTCTGCAACCTGTATAATCCAAAGAGCCATTCTTGGCTTCAGTCCAGCTAATAAAACTTGTATGGAGCTATTTTTTTATTTAACAGATATTCACTACATGTTGCTGATATTCTTGGGGAATCATATAAAAAAAA